CCTAATATCTTAACTTCTTTACAGAGAGAAGAGCATTGTAATTAAGTCAGGGTGCTCAACTCTGAAAGATATTAATTAGTTTTTGAAGCCCTCTGTGCTCTTTTCACTCATGATACCGCTGCGACACTGATTAAGAAGAATTAAACACTACACTCGATATTTTTAGTTTCACTTTAAGGCAAGTGGAGTTCCCCAAAACCCAAAGAGCAGGAAGGATACTGGAGAGAGGCTCTGCACCAGGGCCTGTAGGGACAGGACAAGGGGAATGCCAGAGGGGACATTGAGATGAGCTCTTGGGCAGAAGCTGTTCCCTGTGAGGGTGCTGAGGCGCTGGCACAGGGTGCCCAGAGAAGCTGTGGCTGCCCCATCCCCGGCCGTGTTCAAGGCCAGGTTGGACACAGGGGCTTGGAGCAACCTGCTCTAGTGGAAGGTGTCCCTGCCTGTGACAGGGGTTGGAGCTGGAGGAGCTTTAAGCTCCCTTCAACCCAAACCATTCCATGATTCCATGATTCTATGACTGGGGACTTCCTTCCTTTCTTTTACGGGGATTTCTGTCCTGTCCTGCCTTTCTCAGTGTGTTGATGGCTCCCTGTGGGTTTGAACACAGCAGAAGGGCTTCTGTAAGCCACTACCAGGATACACCTATGGGATACCACCTGCCTTGGGTGACTTAAATAGCTTGAGCACTACATGTGCCAAAGCAGCAGGAGAAGACTACCCACGTCACCTGCCCTGGAGCAAGGGTTTGCCCTAACAATGGAACTGACATGGCAATACTGGGAATAATGGAATTTTAAGGCAGATGCAAAGGATAAAATGCTCTGTGTGTCCCTCTCCCCCAAAGGAGTTGATCCCCAACATAATCACTACTCGGCTGCACAATTCAGTGCTTGGAGGCTGCCTCCTGACCTGGACACTTTCCCAGGGAAGCTCTTGGAGACACGATCTGGAAGGGTTTTTCCTGGAGTGTTTATTTTTGTCTGGACTCAGCTCAGACCTTCCCCTCCCTCGAGCACTGCTGAGCTTTGCCAAGGAATCTGCTGAGCCTTTATGCACCAAATGACTGTTTCATGTAGATTTAGAGCTCATAAAAGCTAACTTTGAAAATCCTAATGTTCTTTTCATGTTACACATGTACATAACGTTACAGGTTTAAGGAATCGTGGCTATTACAGGCAGTTACCAGCTTTTCAACATCGTGCATAGTTACACTTGTCCAGATTTAAACGAAATGGGTTTCAGGAGCTCGTCATGAGCTCACCAGGTTTTAGCATTAAATCTCTGCTTCTGACATTTATGGAGATTTTCAGGAATAGTGGTGGGGTCCTTCCTGCAAAAAGCAGGAGCTTGGTAATGGTAGAGAGTGCTTAAAGCAGAGCAGGATAACTGCATTTTGGTAGGAAGTTTTCTGACTCTGCTTAACTGACAAGTGGTTTTAACATATTGTATTTGAATACTTTATATTGTACACATAATGGGAATGATTAGGAGTAATAATTAGAAATAAGTGACTAATACTTTGGTCAATTCATGTGGTTGCTGTAAAATCTTCATCCTTTCTTTCGATAGAATCACAGAATGGGTTGGGTTGGACAGGACCTTAAGATCATCCAGTTCCAACCCCCTGCCATGGGCAGACACATCTCACACTAGTCCATGTCCAAGGCTCTGTCCAACGTGGCCTTGAACACTGCCAGGGATGGGGCAGCCACAGCTCCTCTGGGCACCCTGTGCCAGCGCCTCAGCACCCTCACAGGGAACAGCTTCTGCCTTATCTCCAACCTGAACTTCCCCTGTTCCAGTTTGACCCCATCACCCCTTGTCCTGCCACTACTTTGCTCCAACCTGATCAGAGTTACTTTTTCCACAATACTTTGGTCTTGTTTCTTCTTCGATGTAGATATTGATGCAAGACCATGGGATTTCCAGGCAGAAGAATGCACCCTGAGAGCCAACATCGAAGCCTTCAACAGCCGGAGGTACGACAAGCCTCAGGACTCGGAGTTTGCACCGGTGGACAACTGCCTGCAGAGCGTGTTGGGACAGAGGCTGGAGCTCCCCGAGGACTTCCACTACTCCTACGAACTCTGGCTGGAGCGGGAGGTGTTTTCCCAGCCCATTCGCTGGGAGGAGCTGCTGCAGTACCAGTGAGAGCAGCACCTTCACCTGCCCCCGTCCCACCTCGGTAAGGACTCAGGGTGCTACAGCCTGAGGAAAGGAAGAGTGGTTTGGACCTGGGTGTTCTTGAGCACGGATGGTAAAACATAAGAGTCTTTCCAAAGAGATCAAGCCTCTTTGTATCTACTCCTGAGTGTGCAATTGCCGTCTTTCTGGAGGTCATCCTTTTCCTTGTGACTTCTTGGAGAGCAGAGGCCCACACAGAGGCCATGGAGCAGGTTCCAGTGTCACACGAGTGGCAGTGTTGGGTGAACTTCTCTGGTCTTTACTGCAGGTTGATGCCAGTGTACGAGAGCTCAGAGTCCAGGTCTGCCTCAGCTTGGTTCATGCATGTAAGTTTGGTGTAAGAGCATCTCAGCTGTGGAAGGTTTTCATCTCTCCCGAATGCCCCTGGCTGTGCACAGTTTGGTTTGGTTTATTCACTTCTGGCTGCCTGATAACATGCTTCAAACACTGCATGCGACAAACAAGCTGCTCTGCCTCCCTCATGGAGCTGAAAATAAGCCATGGTGCTGTCTGCAAGCCTCAGTCAGAGGCGGCAGTTTGACTTGGCCAAAGGAGATGACATTACCTCCCATCCCTGGGCTGGCATTGCTGCTGCTGGGTTACACAACCCGTTGTACAGAGCTGTGCTTCCACAACTGACAATCTCTGCAGCATTCACACTAACCCCTCACCTTTTCCCTGCTCCACTTCCCTCCACCGTTCCATTCACTTGCCATTTGTACTGGAGTGAAAGGATCGGGAAGTTGTGCAGTGTTCGTGTAGAGGAGGTTGTTGCCACGTTTCTCTCTCTCTGATTGTTTTTGAAGGATCATTACTCCAACATCAGGTTTCCAGGGTTTTTTGGAAGGATAATTGCTTGTAGGCTGACCTGCTGGATGAACCTCAGCCCTTGGTACCATGCTGGGTGGCAGCCCCTTCTCCTCGGCCACCCTGAAAAGGCAGGTTTGGCTTCATAGTTTGGCCTGTGACAGAGCCTGAAAACCGTAATCTTTCTCTACAAGATGTTATGAGTCCAGAGCAGGGAATCCTGGCTCAAACATCCCACCCCCAGCCATGAAACCAGGAGTTTGGCTTTTGTCAAAGAAGTGTGTGTTAATACAGTGCAGGCAAACACTTTGGCCACACTGTTATCACTGTATCGAGCACGCAAGTGATAAACCCAGAGTTATTTGGTAGGACAGGATTTGTGCTTATTGCTGTGGAATTAAACTGAGGACATTTGTGTAATGGGGTTTGTAAAAGGTGTTTTTAGCATTAGTAAACCCACTCACCTCTTCAAATGTGCTTTTGCTCAAAATAAACCAGAGCATCTTCTCAAGCACATACATTTACTTCAGCTTTTCTCTTCCTGTGCCTTAATTTCAATGCTTCTTTTGCTGCTTTTTGTGTTTTTAAAGGACAAAACCATCCCTCACAACCCAACCCATACACCCAGCTCTCATCCCTGCCCCTATCCACTCTCTGCTGTGGAATGGCATCTGTCTGGCATACTCTGGATGTTCTGTTCTGATGTATCTGTAGAGCTCTGGCAAAGAAAAGCAGAGTTATGGGCTGTGGATGTTTCCCAGTGTTTGTGCTTGTTAAAAAGTAAGATGTTATTTAAAACTAAATAAAGCCTCTGCAAGGAGTAAGGCATGAAAACCAGACACACAATCTCGAATGGAAGCATGGTGCTGCCCTTAGGGATCCCAGAGCTGGGAGAGCTCTGTAGCTCCGGACAAGTCATTTCAGTACCCACTTCAGCTCCCTGACATACAGCTCCCAGCATTTCCCTCTGCTCCCTAGAGCCCACTGGGAGTAAATAAAGGAAAGATTAAAGAAACAAGTAAATGAACGAACCCCACGTAAAGACGGCAGAATGTGAAGGGTCTGTGAAGTAGGTGAGTGGTAGAAATGCATTGTAACTACTGTGATTTTCAGCATGTTGTAGGGGCCAGAGCCCAGGAGTAGCTGGAACATTTGGGACTGTCTCTGTGATGTTTTGCCCCATATTTTCCTATCAAATGTCTGATCTCCTCCTCAGGCCGAGGTACTGGGAATGTAGCAGTATCCCTGTGTGCTCTCGTGCATCCTGGCACAAGGGACACCTCTCCAGCACTGCTGGTTCCTTTTTCCTTCATAGGAGGAATGCTGCTTCATTTTTTCCTCCATTTCTTTCCTTCCTTCACATGGTGACCCCACACTGAAAGAGTCAGGAGTGTCTTTTTCTGGTTAACCATGTTACCCCACCTTGCTTTCTGATTCCTCTGGTATCCTCTGGTTTAGAGTGACTTAGAAAACAATCTAACTGCCCAACAACTAAGTGTGGATGTAAAGGAAGTACGAGCAGTATATCCAAATTCTTTTAGTCTTAATAAATGGAGGTCATGAAGGTGTTTCTTCAAGGAAAAAGGGGACGAATAAGTGATTAAAGACTCAGAAACTCAGAAAAGCTCTTGGTAATTGACTCAAAGATATTTTTTTCCCCTTCAAGTGTCTCTTTCCCACAATGTTTATGGCAGAGAAGAATAGCCAGCACTGGTTTCTACATTTCATATTGAACCTGAGCTTTATAGAAGGTTGCTTTTACCAGGGTGAAGTTTGAAACACAAATTACACCTGAATGTGTGTATGGTAGAGGATGGTGTATTTTGTTATCTTTGAATACTACTTATTTCCACCACCACCTCGAGTTACACTTCCTAGATACTGCTCCATACAAACCATGAACCTCAGTATGAAAAAGTAACTAAGGAAATGCACATCTTTTAGCTTAAATGTTTGTGTCTCGCCACCTCTTTGTCACAAAGTCTGTGCTAGTGAGATGTGCCGTGTTGAGTGGGGGTTTCTTCTGGAAAGCTGGAAGCCGTGGGGTTTGGTTCATGCTGATAAACGCTGCTGGCCTCCTGCTGGGTGGCTCAGTGCTCGGTGGAAAGCTGCGGGGCTGCAGTGCCACTTCAAAAGCAGAGGGAACCTCTCTTTTAATAAGCTGATTCCACTTACAAACAGATGTGGGGAACTCAAATACTTCCCCTGGAGGTGTTTGGGCAGTGCATTCACTGAGGCCCAGGAGAAAACTCCCTCACTGGTACTGTGGGCAGTCCCAGACGCTGCTTCTCTGGCAGTGCTAGAAGACTCCATCCTCCGATCTTCACCAGGGACTGGAGCGACAGGACAAGGGGTGATGGGTTTAAGTTGAAACAGGGGAAGTTCAGGTTGGAGATAAGGCAGAAGCTCTTCCCTGTGAGGGTGCTGAGGTGCTGGCACAGGGTGCCCAGAGAAGCTGTGGCTGCCCCATCCCTGGCAGTGTTCAAGGCCAGGTTGGACACAGGGGCTTGGAGCAACCTGCTCTAGTGGAAGGTGTCCCTGCCCGGGGCAGGGGTTGGAGCTGGAGGAGCTTTAAGGTCCCTTCAACCTAAACCATTCCATGATTCTGTGATTGCACATCTCAAACTGCAGCAGATCACAGTTTAAAGCTACTTTGCTTCATGATGAGGATTCTCTTAACAAAAAATGACAAAATAATTAGGAGACAGCAATTAGGGAATAATCATCTTGATGTGCAGCAAGAAAGTTTCAGGACAAAGTTTCTGTGTGGCTGAAGGAACGTGTGTTATCTTACCCCAAACACACCTGTGATTCCAGGAATGCTCCAGTGATCTCAGTTTCTGTTGTAATCAAGCTTTGTCTTCAGCCTATAGGTGGTTGCTGAAAGTTTTGCTGTTGGGAAGTCATTTTCTTCAGTGCCTCAGTAGAGATTCTTCTCTTTTTAACTTTGTTTTCTAGGGATACAAGGCACATGCTATTACACTATTATGTTCTTACTCCTCTATAAGCAACTTCCGAACTTCAAGGGAAAGGAAGAAAGAAAGGAAGGAAAGAAAGAAGAAAGAGGAAAGAAAGGAGGAAAGGAGAGTTTATCTATCTCATGCAAACCTGAGTGAAGGATGAGCATAACCAAACATCCTTCCTTTCTCTTATGTGAATATTGCCATAATGGTACTGAGATGTCCTCGCCTGACTGCTGCCAGAGCTAAAGCATTCCTTGTTTATCCAGTTGTAACTACAGCAGTGACGTTATGAGGCCAGGTTTATTATACTCATAGTTTGCAGAAACTCCCTTAATTATTTATCAAAAGCCCTGTGTGTGTAAGCAGTGGCTTGGTCCGTAGCCAGGTCCAAGCATCTCTAATACAACTGTGACTGCACAGGCTGCTCCTTGATCTAGTATTTAAGACATGCTTGTCACCATTGTGGCTTCTTTTTAGCCTCAATAGTCAGTATAATGTGGTCTCTTGCCAGCTGTTTTTGCTAACAGGAGATAATGACTATAATCAGGATTGCTTCTTTCATGCCAGTGTGGCTTGTTAATAAAAATCACACAAAACAGTTTTTCCCTGAATGCAGTAGAAATCAAATATTATTTATTTTGGTATTTGTTTCGTTATCCATCCCCAGACTCATTCAAAAGGGTTAGAAAACCTGCAGACCTTCTTTCTGAGCTACACAAACAAGTCCTTCCCTATTCCCTCTTGGTCTTTTGCTTCTTTCACTGTCTTTTTTGGCTCCTTCTGATCAGGTACCAGCATTCCTTGGAGTGTTTCCTCAGCACTGACTGTTCTTCTGGCAGGGCTGTTTTCATCTCAAATAGTTGATTCCATTGCCTGTGGCCTTGTAGAGACAAGGAAGGGAGCGTAAAGGAAGACCAGGAGCTGCTGTAGTAAACTCAGCCACTGAAAACAAGACCCAAACCACAGACATGCCTGGGACAACCAAAGACCAAGGCCCTTTCAAATGGCAAAAACCTCTTGATAATTCCTCCTCCACATGGCCCTGACAATGGCCTGGGGGACAGGGTAACTATCTCTTGTTTTCCTTCAGCTTTACTCTGAGCAGAAGAGAGCTGATGTGTCCGTGAGCCTCAGTGAAGTTCAGAAAGCAAATCCCTCCGAACAGCACGTTCTCCTGGATCCCACCCACAGAGCAGGGAACGGTCACGAGAGAGAAAGGGCTGGTATTTTCTACAGAAAACAAGATATCCACGGTAAGAGAAAGCCTCC